TCGTGTTCAGATGACAGAGAGTGTTGCCAACAGAAGTGGGAAAAGAATAAGAATTGTTTGGAGATGCGGGTCGTCAGTGTTGCTTTTATAATTTGTTGCAGTGAAGGTTTTGAAATGTGCTAAATCAGGGGGTTTCATGGCCCTTTAAAGTGGCAAACTTCGTATTTTCTTGTGTCCAAATGCTTTAAATTAGCTTGAAATTGTACAGTCAGAGGCCTTAAAAACACATCCAAATAAAAATACTTCACACTTTTAGATTATAGTGTTAGGAACTCTATTTTATGGTTAAACATAATCCCAATCAAGTGTGCCGCAAGCCTACGTTTGAGTGAGGGTCTCGGCCGTTAGATCGCCCCCTGGGGGCTGGCTGCAGTACAAGTCATAAAGCCCGCCTCCTCCGTGTTAATGAAGGAGACTTGAGCCCAAATAAAAAAAAATATTACACTTGCAATAAAATGTCCCGAAAGATGGTTCTGGTTGATTAAGGCACTGGTTATTGTGCTGAAATAGGTGCAGATCTTCATTTTTGTAAACAGTTTGTTTTTAGCAGTAATTTAATGCTGGGCGTGTCATCGTGATTGACAGCTGTGATTGACAGTTTCTCAAAGCGCGGCGTCTGAGCTTCGGCAGGAGACTGAAGTAGACTGAATGTTATTATTCGATTTCTGTGTTATTTTACCATGACAAAATGAGTTCAGCAGTAAACTATAGTTTCTGACATACATGATCCTGGTGGAACACTGTTTATTCGCTAAGTTCAGGGCTTTTTTCGGGCTTTATTAGTTTGCTGATACACGCCTAGCCACCCAGATAGCAAAACACAGTTCCGGCTAGATTCTCGCCTGCCGGAGACTTATCTCTTACCCCTCAGACTGACAACCTCTGCTGGACCTACTCCGGATGCCTGGACTCACTACCCAATTCCAGCCCAAGTCAATCGAGCCAGATGCGGCGCTGCCGCATGCGAGCCGGAATCAGCCCGCGACGCCGCGAGTAAGTTATGCGCTGCGGCCTGGAGCTGGCGCGATTGAATATATAAAACCCTCATATTTGTTAACGTTATTACATCCATTTGTGTTGATATGACAGCAAACGCATGCTGAGAAGTTCAGGGGGCGTAGTTGATTTTACATAAAGCGTTTGATTGGAAGCTCGACTCCGCTCATTTTCGCGGCTCCTCCTCTGGCTCCATCAGACAATCCTTCTGCGCATGTCAATTTCAGCAGTCTTTTGCGACAGTTTGTGCCCGTCAAGCAGGCGTTTTGCCCTCAAGGCGTTCAATGGGAAAAAGGGCTGTCGCGTCGTCCATATTTTTTACAGTCATTGATCCCAATTTGACATTGCAGATCTTGCGATGCGACTATTACAGATGTGCACATTGCGATATCGGTGCTGAAACGATATATTGTGCAGCCCTAATTTCAGTACAAATTATATACTGATTTCACATAGAAGCCGACATAAAGGTCTGCGATACGCATATGATGTATATATTCAGGATGTGAGCGTAACTCGAAATGAAAACAAAATAAAGATTAAAGCTACAGCTTGGGCTGCCCGATATTGGAAAAAATCTTTTAAAAATCTTTAATTCTTCAATAGTTCTTATTTTATTCAATATGTATAAGTTAAGAACAGACGTTTACTCTAGCTTGGTTGTTTATGTATGAAAGACCAATTCCAAATGAACAATAATCTACGTATAACTGAAAAGTTATATTCTTTGGTTTTTAATTATATCATTTCATTGACATGCCAGCTAGGAGGGACATTTAACCTTTGCCTTGCTGACTACAGGCTAAGCCAAAGTGATGCAATTATCGGTTTCACGGCATGGCTGTATCTATTGTCTTCTCTGTCTCCAGAATATCATTTGCACACTGTTGTAATGATGTACTTATATACTGATGAGATCAGACCTGGAGAAGGCATGGCACCCTGCAGACAACCAGACTTCATTTGCATGCTTTGTTTGACTGTCCCCACCATGACTGACCCCACCTACATGCTGTAAAATGTATAATGTTTGCTGTGGAGTTTAGAGTTTGCTTTCGATGACGCCACAGCCACGCTGAGTTCTTCTTATTAAAAAGGATTCTGGTTTGAAGACAACCGAAAGATTCTCCCTGGTTTTTTGGGGTCTTAGAAGTTTACAACACGATCAACATTAGAGCAATTCCAATTTTGTTTGACATTTTTGCGTTTATAAAAGCTTGGTTATGGATTTGTCAACTCTTCGTTATCGATGTGACCCATGTGCCGCTTGTGTGACTTTGGTAAATCAAATATAATTGTTTGAAAACATTGACAGACATTTGTGAGTATTTTTTTACAGCACTTTAAAATACAAGCCTACACAATAAACTTTAAAAAGGATTTTGCAATTTTGTTGAACTTAATTTTTTTCATGGCAAGGTTGACGTTCTCTATGGAATTGCTCATTATCATCCAATTAGTCTACATATTAGTTTATTGTAATTTGTATTTTATATAGTGCATTTATCGTGTATGGCCATAATAATACTGTATACTGCATGTAATAATACATAGTACTCTGATACTGTACAATTTACAAGTGCACTGTAAATTAACAGTTACAATTGTGCTGTAGTTTTACTCACTATTGTGCTGTAGTATTACACACTTTGATTTGAGTCAGAAACTGGGGTCCCACTTTATATTAAGTGGCCTTAACTAATATGTACTTACACAGGAATTAATAGTTTGTTACATGTACTTATTGTGTAAATACATGTATTTCCTATGTACTTATGCTTGATTAAATACAAGTATGTAATTACATCTGTAATTAACTTTTGTAATTACATTTGTAAATACACTGTTGACCATCTCTTACACCTTAACCCACCCTTAAACCTACCCACATCACCAAACCTGTCCATTACCCAACCTCTATCCCAACTCAAGAGCACCACAAGTGTTCTCAAATACATTATAAACACAGTAAGTACATTGTATTTATTTTTTGATGTAAGTACATAGTAGTTAGGGCACTTAATATAAAGTGGGACCGAAACTGGTAACCATTTGACATCTATAGTAGGAAAAACAAATACTATGGCAGTGAATGGTTACCGGTTTCCAGCATTTGAAACTCAAACAGGTTTGTAATTATCTAATGTAATGTGTACTTATATAGCGCATTTATTGTGTATGGCCATATACCCAAAGCGCGTCACAATCATGAGGGGAGTCTCTCCACACCACCAGCCGTGTGCAGCATCCACTTGGATAATATGATGGCAGCCACAGGACAACAGCGCCACTGCGCTCACCACACACCAGCTATTAGTGGAGTGAAGAGCCAATTCAGTGGATGGGGATGATTGGGAGGTCATGATGGATAAGGGCCGATGGAGGGAATTTGGCCAGGACACCAGGGTTACAGCCCTACACCTTGGTTTAACGTCTCATCCGAAAGATGGCGCCCACTGAAAGTATAGTGTCCCCTTCACTTTTACTGGGGTATTAGGACTCGCATAGACTGCAGGTTGAGCGCCCCCTGCTGGCATCACTAACACCACATCCAACAGCAACCGTTTCCTATGTGGTCTCCCATCTCCAGGTTCTGACCAGGCTCAGCCCTGTTTAGCTTCAGTGAGTTACCGGTCTTGGGCTGCAGGTTGATATGACTGCTTTCTACCTTCAATTGATGTTAAAGAATAGTAATTCAGCATACACTGTTCATAAAAAGTTTTATTTTTACATCATTTACATTTTTACAACTTCAGTTCAGTTGCAGTTTCCTTTATGTAATGCAGAGTGAAATTATGTTACGTCGACACACAGAAACTAATATTTATGAAGAACAACTTAGCCGCAAAAAAACACTATGAAAGCCGATTATGATAAATAAGCTTTAATGATTTCATAAAAAAAAAAACATTTTTAAGTTAGTTTGACATTAATGTTTGTTAGGGTTACTTAAAGTACTCATAGTACTCTCTGTTAGATACAGATGAAGTCAGAATTTTTTCCTGAATTTCTGTTTAATGGAGAGCAGATTTTTTCAACTCGTTTCTGAACATAATAGTTTTAGTGAAGTTTATTTATAAACTAATTTCGAGAGGAGCACGCGCTTATGACTGATAGCACCTAGTCCACATTAGCTAATGCTGATTCACCAATCAGACGACTCCTTAACCATAGGAGTTAAAGTTCGCATGTTCTCCTTGTGTTTGCGTGGGTTTTCACCGGGCTCTCCGGTTTCCTCCCACAGACCAAAAACATGTAACATAAGTAAATTGACAGCATAGACACTTCATAACGTTTTATTCTATATCCAACATAATCAAGCAGGGGAGTACTCGAGACCTACCTGAACTCTGACTTCCCTCTCGCCCTGCAATGGGGGGAGCCCCGGGCTCGAGGATCTCACGAGTTCAGGGCTCTCTCCCAGGACAGCATGCCAAACAAGCTTTATAATCAATCATCAGCTAAGGGCGAACTCTTGAAATAACTCCCTTTTAATTACTGATTTCTTTTATCTTTGCCACAAAGACAGTACATAATATTTTGCTGGCTATTTTTTAGGGTACTAGTATTCAATCAGCTTAAAATGACATTTAAAAGCTTAACTAGGTTAATTAGGCAGGTCATTGTATATCGATAGTCTGTTCTGTAGACCATCTAAAAAAATATGGCTTAAGGGGGCTATTAATAATGACCAATAAAAATGAAAACTGATTTTATTGTAGCTGAAAAAAATATTCCAGGAAATACTGTGAAAAATGCCTTGCTGTGTTAAACCTCATTTGGAAAATGATGAAAAAAATAAAATGATGAAAATTATGATTAAAAAAAGAGAATTCACAGGCGGGCTAATAATTTTGACCTTTATATACTTTAAAACACATGTACTGTAAAATCAGCCATTGGTTGTGTTTTTGCACAATTCTCTCTAACTTACTCTACAAGCATCGGGTGGATATTGAATAAATGAGTAGATTATTATTTCTCTTATTTGCTTATTTTTGCAGGGATTGTGGCATGTAACTGGTTGGTCATCTTCAGTGTGTGTTTCACCATGATGTGCACCTTTGACCCCACCGGACGGACCTTTGTCAAGCTGAAAGCAACTCGTCGACGTCAGCGTAACCTTACAACATACACACTCAGGTAAAAATGCTCGATGCTACACACTGACTTATTTCAGCATAATTCTCTTCAGCTAAATTCAGACGCCATCTTGTTTTAATGAATCTTCATTTTCAGCTATGTACAATCGATTGCTTTATTGATGGACTGACTTTTAGAAAGTTAAGGAGATTTCCACAAGTTGTAGATTCTCATGTTTTGCCGGATTTTAAAATGTTTGTTTTGGATTACTTTATTTTAAGAGAGCAGTATTTTTTATCATTTAAATCCATTTTGTAAATTGATTGCCAGTCAGAATAAAATGCATATTTCTACACCTTATGCACTTTACTATTGATAGCTAGCGCTAAAATTTTAATAACTGGGTTTATTGATATATAATCTATATCAGGGTTTTTCAAAGTCTAAGACAGTGGGCCTCCCTTTTGACACAACTTATCCATTGGCGCCCCCCTCCTCCCAAACACGCACGCACACACGCACACACACACACACACACACATATATATATATATATATATATATATATATATATATATATATATACAGTATATATAAAGACACAGACAGATGTCAGACTGTTAACTCACTTTTATCATCATTTGCATGAAAGTGCAATTATTTACAGAGTAATAACAAGTATTTTAATATAACGTTTTTAAAACTAGGATGATGGTTCAATATGAATAGAACAGTTCCAAGAACTGTCCATCCCAGTCAAAACAGTGGAAGTTTAGTGGGTCTCATGCTGTCATTAGCCAAAATATTTGAGAGGGTGCTCGCTGCAGAGCCATTTGAGGAGAGGTGAGCTCCAGAGAGGGGGAGCATGAGCTGTCGCTCCTCCTCCTGTAAGCTGTTTTAATGCGTACACCAACCCCACCCCTAACCCTACCCCCAGTGACATCACTCGTAGAAGAAGTGCAAAAAAGGTGGAGCTCAAGCTTAAGCTCCCCCTCTCTGGAGCTCACCTCTCCTCAAATGGCTCTGCAGCGAGCACCACTTGAAATATTTTGACAAACCACACATAAAGGTCGTGGTTGATCAGCTGGTCCTGTCCACGTAAATCATAAACTCAAATACTGATCATCATATCGTCGTCTTTTGGGTTTAAGCCCTGAACTTGAAGGCTTTTGTGGCGAGGGGGCGTGGCCGAGCGCCGTGGGAACGGAGTGAGGCCACCGCGTAAGTGGATACACCTGCGGTGCGCACCTGCCTCAGATGCCACGGAAGGAGCTCTGGATCATAAAAGGAGGAACAAGGGCAGAGGAAGCCGAGAGAGGACCGGACCCGGACATATTTTACTTTTGCTTTCAGTTTGACAGCAATCTCCGTGAGGATCTGCCGTCCGTTTGTTTTGGTTTAAAAGGAGCTGCCGTCACTGTCATTAATAAATCACTTTAAAACTGCTTCGGTTCTCCGCCTCCTTCACAGCGGCCAAAGGGCCGTGAACTTCATTACAGCTTTGAATCGGGGTGGGTCTCAGAAACCGACCCATTGTATTAGCAGGCATATAATAAACGTTTAAATATAATAAAAAATACATATAATAATTAAACTTAATAATTATATTTTTATTATATTATATTTTTTCCCGCGCCTCCCCTGACATGCTCTGGCGCCCCCCAGGGGAGGCGCGCCTCACACTTTGAAAACCCTTTATCTATATTAACTAGGGCTTTCCAAAAAATGTAAAAAGATTAACGTAATTAATTAAACTATTTTGTAGTTAATCATGATTAATCACGAAACGTATTAATTACGTATTTATTACAGAAATAAAAACACAGGCATTTAAGTGCCATTTGAATTTCAAAACAATCAATGTCAATAACAAACAAAAATGATTTCCATGTTGGATTCTAAGTGGACACACACACACACACACACACAGACATCGCGCTCAGTACATCACACCCCGTGAACAAAGGATTCCTTCAGATTCATCAACACGCATGATCGCGTTCATCAAATCTGCTTAAACTAAGTGTTCTGAAGTATAGCTGTATTATACAACCAAAGATTCTGAAACAGCAACGTGAAGCAGACGTTTTACAAAAGTTGAGTGAAGGGGGGGGGACACGTCAAACTTATGAAATGTTAGGGCACATGGAAGCAGCTTAAAGGCAAACAATAGGGCTGTCCTTGAAAGCTTGCTACTTCATCTAGCACTTTCACTGATACATTTACATGGACACCAAAACTCCGCTTTAATGATTAAGATAATACTGATTAAGAGTCGACCATGTAAACAGCGGTTTTTGATTACCTTAAAGCTCTGGTCACCAAACTTGTTCCTGGAGGTTCGGTGTCCTGCAGATTTTAGCTCCAACCCTAATCAAACACACCTGAACATGCTAATCAAGGTCTTACTAGGTGTACTTGAAACATCCAGGCAGGTGTGTTGAGGCAAGTTGGAGCTAAACCCTGCAGGGACAGCGGCCCTCCAGGACCGAGATTGGTGACCCCTGCCTTAAAGGATCACGCGAGTCACGAAATGCAGAGGTTTTTCTTTCCGTTCGACATAAGGTAAAAAATTCCATTAAAACATCCTGAATGAAAATATGCTGAATGAGAGTGAACCGCTGCACTGCAGTTAAAGTCTAAAGATTAAAAATGAAACACCTGAAATTGCACGAAACTCTGGAGGAAAACGCAGAATGACATTAATTGTTTTATACTGAAACCTTTCTTCTAGAAGCGTGTCCTGTGTCTTATCCAAATTTCTTTGCACGTTAAACACACGCAGGGCCAGAGCAAGCTAAACTGAAAAGTGACCGGTTCGCGGATGAAAGTAAGGACCGTGAGGGAGGGGGTGGGTGTAGCGGATGAAAGTGAAAACTCGGGGGGTCTCTCACTATTCTGCTGCCAACTCGGTCGCCTCTATGCACACGCCGTCCCTGAACACACGTCGACCACAACAGGAAATAAAAAACCTCCAACTGCATTATTTGCGTTGTTTTATTTTACGTGTTAAATATTTCAAATTAATCACACGCGTTAAGGCGCTTGTTACGAAGTGGCTGACACAGAGGGATCCATTTGCAGTATTTCTATTAAGCACAGTTTAATAAACAATAGCACACAGATGTTGTGCGTGCGCAAACTCACATCAAACAGTAGTATGTAGTCGTTTGGCTGGCGGCTGGTAAACACAGGATGAATATGCAGGCATGGGTCAGAGGCAGGCGGCTAGTATCAGAGTCGGTAAACAGGCTAGAGTTCAAAGGCAGGCGGCTAGTATCAGAGTCGGTATTCAGGCTGGAGTACAAGGCAGGCGGCAGGCAAGACATAAGGATGGCTGACGTGAAACCGACGTTTCGACACAGTGTCGAGATCCCGAAGCGCAAGTGTTTCGAAACACTGCACCGAAGCATGATCCGAAACACCCAGGTCACGTGACTAAAGTGTTTCGAAACACTTGGTCACGTGATTAAAGCGATTCAAAGCATTGATCATTTCAGAGGCGTTTTAAGACCCGGAGAATCTCCATTTGACTGACATGATCTTTTAGTGAATCTGTCTCGTATGGCCTAGTGGACCGTACGTGTGCATATTGGAACTGTGCATCAAATTTATTTTGGGTTTGAATCCCGACTAGTCCAAATACTCCAAAATCATGATTTTATGTCTTTTAATCATGTTAATTTTTTATGGTGTAGTCTAGATAGGATACAGCTGCGGATATGCCATCAATTTAGCATCATTTTTGTAACACTGTAAAACAATAATTTATATTTTTACAGTACTGTGATGGGTTTAGGTTTTGGATAGACGTTAATAAAATACAATGGGAAATTTTATTAATAATATAAATAATTATTTTTAACTTCTGGTCACAACTGTATCTGATCTAGCAACAACCCTGTTTTATGAACAAAACAATACACATTTATTTACAAGGTGTTTATTCGTATGTCAGAGCAATGTTGAAACAAAACGATACAATACCAAAGCAATACCAACTGGTATTAAAGCATTTCAAAATAACTGTATCAGTTTGGATTCGAACCCAATTGTTACCGTATGATGGTCACAAACTCTAACCGCTCGACTAAACCATTTGTTAAATCTAAGGTACAAAGTGGACTTCATACCTTAATTTGCTCAACTGTTCTTTGCTGAAGCTGTTTCAGTGAAATACAAATAAAATGACCACTAGGTGTCACCGTAGAGTGGTGTTTCGAAACGTTTCGAAGCTTCGACACATTTGCTTCGATAGTTTCAGTGTTTCAGGAGGCCTCGCTTTGCCCACCTCTAGCAAGACAGGGTCAGTAGACGAAGCAGGATCACAACGGGAAAGCAGGCAAGGATGAGAACGCTCAGTAGTGTTAGCCGGGGCAAAACAAGACTTCGCAATGAGGTGTGTGTGAGTGCTGCTTATATGTGTGTGGTGAGTGATTATTGGGTGTGATTCAGGTGTGTCTGCAATCAATGTATGTGGATGACGTAATGTCAATAGTCCGATGATGGTGACCTCTGCTGGCCAGCGAGGGGAATGACTGGGACCGAGTCTGTGACAGCGCTAATTTGGACAGCCCTAATATTAACCCTTCACTATAAGTTTTCATTAATAAACTACACTACTAACAAGCAATTGCTTATAAATTTAAATTTAAAGTTGAAAATAGAGTTGAAGTCAGAATTATTAGCCCCCCGTTGAATTTCTTTTTTTAATATTTCCCAAATGTTGTTTAACAGAGCAAGGACATTTTCACAGTATTTCTGATCATATTTTTTCTTCTGGAAAAAGTCTTATTTGTTTTATTTCGACTAGAATAAAAGCTGTTTTTAATTTTTTTAAATAGTATGTATATAATGCAACACCAATTTTTCACAGATATCTTTTGTGTTTCTAGCTGAGATTTTTACAGCCCTCCTCCAAACTACAGTTGCACAGTGTAAACGCTGCATAACCCATTTTTCAACCTCTATTTCTGGATTTTTGGCCTCGGCACTGAAATATCTGTTGACTTTTAATTCCCCGATGTCCTCATGGTATTTGCTCAGATGGGTTGTCTTTGTCTCTTTCAGACACAGGCTAGAAGAGGGTCAAGCCAGCAGCTGGAGCAGAAGACTCAAATTCTTCATGTGCTGCACCAGAGCAAAAGACACACAATCTGTAAGCCTCAGATACAAACACACATCAGTTACTGTGAGCACTTTCTCAGCGGAAGATATTCACTCTCAGAACAAGATATGTGCTGATATTCAGGGATACAGTATGTTGTGATGATAAACTTTTTTAAACACAAGTATTAGGGTGCATAACACACAACATACAGTAAACACAGAACACATAAACAGCAATAGAACAGAAATGGAAATAACAGGAATGTGTATAAATAGAAATGACAATAAGAATAATATTTCTAATTCTATTTAAACAGTCATAATAATAATAACAAGAACTTTTTTTGGCTTAGTCCCTTTATTAATCCGGGGTCGCCAAAGCGAAATGAACCTCCAACTTATCCAGCATATGTTTTACGCAGCGGATGCCCTTCCGGCTGCAACCCATCACTGGGAAAATAATTCTAATTATGATGATAATAATATTAATTACAATAATAAATATTACATGGAGCGACGCAGTGGCGCAGTAGTGCCGTCGCCTCACAGCAAGAAGGTCGCTGGTTCAAGCCTCGGCTGGGTCAGTTGGCGTTTCTGTGTGGAGTTTGCATGTTCTCCCTGCGTTCGCGTGGTTTTCCTCCAGGTGCTCCGGTTTCCCCCACAGTCCAAAGACATGTGGTACAGGTGAATTGGGTAGGCTAAATTGTCCGTAGTGTATGAGTGTGAATGGGTATTTCCCAGTGATGGGTTGCGGCTGGAAGAGCATCCGCTGTGTAAAAACGTGCTGGATAAGTTGGCGGTTCATGCCGCTGTGACCTCATATTAATAAAGGGACTAAGCCGCAAAAGAAAATGGATGAATGAATGAATATTACATGTATTTTTAAAAATTCATAATTAGATAAAATAATAAAAAGTAATAATTCTTAGGTTGGGGGTAATAAAAGTAATATTCTGTGATGACAGAAACAGTGACTTAAATAATAATAATAATACTAATAAATAATAATAAAGCTAATAATAAAAAAGCTAATAATAATAATATTAATATATAATAAATGTATAATTTTAAATTTTTAATTATTAATTACATATAAAAAATAATAATAAAAGGTTGGGGATGATAAAAGTTATATTCTGTGATGATAGATACCGTGATTTTAATAATAATAAATGTAGTAATAATAATAATAATAATAATATTAATGTAAAAAAATAATAAAGGTAATAATAATAATATAGATGATCATTATAATAATTATAAATATTAATTTTGGTAATAATAATAATAATAATAATAATAATAATAATAATAGTAATAATAATAATAATAAATTAATAATTTTAAATTAATAATTAATAATAGTTAATTAAAATATTTTAAAATAATAAAACGTTAGTTGGGGATAAAAAAAGTAATATTCTGTGATGGCAACAGTGATTTCAATAATAATAAATGTAGTAATAATAATAAAAATGATGATTATTATATTCATAAATATAGATTAAATTAATAGTTATAAAAAATAATAATATTAGATAATAAATGTATTTTCAATGAATAATTAAAAATAATAAATTAAAATATTTAAAAGTAATAAAGCTAAGGTTTGGGATGATAAAAGTAAGACTGCAACAATAATTTTAATTATGACAAAGGTTATAATAATAATAGAAATAATAATAACAAGAATATAATAACAATAGTAATAATTGGGGAAATGTTAAAAAATAAAAAAATTAAGGTTGGTGATGATAAAAAGCAGAATTGTGTTATGAATTAAAATAATAATAAAGGTAATAATAATAATAATAATAATAATGTTATTAATAATAGTATGGTGCGGCGGAAAATTTATTTATAATTCAAATTTATATAATAATGACACATACCCAACACAAGACTTATGGGCCATTCACACTCCAAAACTCCTTTTTCCATTACAATGCACTGCCTTTCCATTGTTTTTCTGTTTAAACTTGCATTTGACGGATGTGCATGGTTGTTACACTTGCATTTCACATCTTTCCAATGCCTTGGACATGAGCATCACATTTTTAAAGCCACAATATGTACAAAACACAACTTTAAGAACAATGTTATCTTTTTTGCTGACTTGTGTACTTAAATTATCCCAGATGTTTCAAAGAATATTCAAATTAAAAGTATTAACCTATTTTAACTAGTGAGACGGAGTGTGTACTGTGTGTTCATGCTAATGACGTCACACACTTATGATTTCCAGTTTCCAGAGAAATTTAATTTGTTGTTAAAATGACTTCTTGATATTTTCAGCAATTATTGCAGTGATATGTCTTGCATGTCTACACAGGACGCGTACTCTGAGGTTGCCAGCTTGTTCGCCGAGTTTTTCAGAGATCTGGATATCGTGCCGAGTGACATCATTGCTGGTTTGGTGCTGCTCCGACAGAGACAACGGGCTAAAAGATCAGCCATCTTGGATCAGGTCTGCAAAATCGTGGGTTTAGCTTAACAGTACTATGGATTCGACAAATATAAATATTAAAGTGAAACTACACCCTAAAATGCTAATTTTCTCATTATTTACTCACACTGAACTGACAATTATGCATTTCTGTTGATCACAAAAACAAGATTTTCTAAAGAATGTTGGGAAAAAAACTGCCATTGACATCTACTGTATAGTCGGATCAAAAAAAAAGCTATTGAAGTGAATGGCTGTTTCTTCCCCATCATTTAGTATATCTTTCTTTGTATTTAACAGAAGAAAGAAACTCAATGGGCTTGGAACAAGTGGAAGATGGGAAAATTATGGCAGAATTTTAGTTTTTGGCTAAACTATCTATTTGATGTAAATATTTTTAGCAACACTTTACAGTAAGGTTGTATCATTTTATGTCCATTTAATGTATTTACTATAGTAAATAAACAATGAACAATGGATTTATTACAGTATTTATTTATCTTTGTTAAGTTAGAGATTAGGGCGAGGCAGTGACACAGTAGGTAGTGCTGTCGCCTCACAGCAAAAAGGTCGCTGGGTTGCTGGTTCGAACCTCGGCTCAGTTGGCGTTTCTGTGTGGAGTTTGCATGTTCTCCCTGCCTTCGCGTGGGTTTCCTCCGGGTGCTCCGGTTTCCTCCTCAGTCCAAAGACATGCGGTACAGGTGAATTGGGTAGGTTAGATTGTCCATAGTGTGTGTGTGAATGTGTGTGTGTGGATGTTTCCCAGGGATGGGTTGCGGCTGGAAGGGCATCTGCTGCGTAAAAACTTGCTGGATAAGTTGGCGTTTTATTCTGCTGTGGCGACCCCGGATTAATAAAGGGACTAAGCCTAAATGAATGAATGAATGAATGAATGAAAGTTAGGGATAAAGTAGCCTCCATCCATGGGGTTTTTCTTGCAGAATAATGCCCCACAGGTTTATCGACAGCTTGACATTAGCCCGACATTATAAACATCAGGAACTTAGCCCAAAAGTACTTGGTCACTACACCACCCTTCCTCCTCCACCACATCCCTGTTTTGCCCTTGGTTGCCTGTTAATTTAAGGCATTGTTGTTTAAAATGCAATTTTGCTGCAAAGTATTTGAATTTTGTTTTAAAAATTGGAAGTTTCCCAGAATTAAAAAACTTTCTGCAAAGTATTTGAATTATTATTTTCACCATAAGCTGCTTTGGAATGATGATTGTTGTGAAAATCTGATTAATTAGTATGACTCCATATTCTGTTTTACTTTTGTTTTAGGTGTTTATACCAAGTAACATTACCAGAACGTTACATCAGAAAATATCTGACTCTTCAGTACAGAAATAAAAAATATTATTAAAAAGGTGGTTTTATTCCCTATAAAGGCTTATTTATGCTTCTGTGTCAAGCGCATGCATATGGCCAGGTGCAGCCTTCGCGCGGTCGCATAGCCTTTGCTGTGGCTGACGCTGATGCACACCTCTCAAAAAATGTAACTTCATGTTGCAACGACACGTAGAGCAAGCTCTGAGATTGGTCAGCTTGGTATTCGTAACAAACATGGGTGTGGCCGAGAGCTGCGCTAACCCGTTGAAACGAGTGTTTACAAGTGTCGAGTCCGGTGAAGAAGCTTCAATTGGAAACATTTGTTTTGTGTTTACCTCATGATTAAAGTTGCAGCACATCTGCCAGTTCCCGCCTCAGAATGAACAAGTTTTAGCTACTTGTACATTTAGGTAGCGTTCAGAAAAAAGCAAAACACCAGAGAAGAAACTCGACATAGAGGAAAAAAAACCCACTGCCAGCTAACGTTTCAGAAGAGTTATTGCAGAGCAACACAAACAGCACTCAGAAGTATAAATGCACAGCAGCGCGCAAGACATGCGCCGTGGGTCACGGTCATCACCCGACCCAGAAGTATAAACCAGCCTTAGGAATATTTTTTTTGTCAGACTCGGCTACTTTCACATAAATATACCTAAATAAATCAATCAAAACTCACAGCTAATCAGAACAGTCTATGTGCATAGTATCTCATCAAATTGCACGGAACTGTCGACGAAATCAATGAAATATGTACAATAGCAACTTGATGTTCTTCTCAGAATATTTAACAAACTCACTTAAATAAGACACAGAAGCAAAGTAAAAAACAAACAAAGCTGATTGCTGATGGAGTATCCACTAACCTGCGCATTATTCATTCACAAGATGTTGCTAAACAGTCAATAACTGTGGCGTGACTGACAAGGAGATACATATGAATGTGGATGCAAGTATGAATTTGAAAGTATTCACTGACAGTCAAGGGGACTGAAAGTTTCCAGATTAGCCCTTGTTATTTAACGGTTGTTATCTCACAATAAATTATCTTGGAATGTCACGACTGACCAATCAGAATTGAGTATTCCAGATATGACAAAACTGGTTAATGGTAATTAGTGAATATTGAGTTATCATTAATAAATGCTGTAAAAGTATTGTTCATTCTTAGTTCATGTTAGCAAATACATTAGTTGTTAACTAGGCCCACACGGAATCTGCGAAAGCAGATTTATGAAGATTTTAGCCCATCTTTGATACTGTTTATTTGCTTGAGTAAATGTGTGTAAATCTATATTTATTCAGTTTTTAAAATAATTACAGTAATATTATTGACTAATATGAAAATGTTCATCTGATTTACGTACAATGCAGTTTGTACAGTCATATTTTCTGACTTTAGTAGATATATTAAATGAGAGACTTGCTTTGTTTACCAAATAAAGTGGATCTGATTGGATTTGCATTTTAAACCTTAAATAAAAGTTAAAAAGGTATTATTTTTTTTATTTTGCATTATAAGATTTTAGTTATGATACTCCCAAAATAATTCCGCAGAAATGCGCAGATTTTTATCAAAATTCACTGCAGAAATAGCAAAAAACGTTTGCAGATTCCGTCTGGCCCTAGTTATTAACACAAAAATATTTAGGGGTTGTTATTGACAATATGTTGACATTTCAACCTAACACCCAGGCTGTCTATAAAAAAAAGTGCAACAAAGTTTTTTTTTTATGAAACTTAGATATTTTAGTGATTGTACCATGTATTTTTTAAACCATTTATTATTTGTTCTATCTCTTTTATCTTTCTGCATTGTAGCTTGGTAAATTAATCTGCGTCTGTCAAGTAAGGACAGGTTAGGTAACCTTGTTAAGATGGCAGGCAAGATTATCGGTTTTAACCAATCTGGGCCATTGGTGACTTACCAAAACTGAGTTTTGAAGAGGGCCCGGGTTATCATATGCACCCCGGGTCACCCATTGTATTTTGTTGCCATCAAGGCATCGCTTTAGAGCTCCCTTTGTAGAACAAACAGAATGTGGCCATTAGATTTTTTTTTTAATTTATTGATTTTTTTTGTTTGAAAGGTTTTTCATTAGTTTCCCCTTAATATAACATACGGTACCATACAAAAATACACAATGCATCCAAATACACTGTTAAAGAAAATTTAAAAAGAAAATTTGGGAAAACAGGGTAGACACGTTCATAGTTTAAGGCAGGCATGTCCAAACTACGGCCCGCGGGCCATCTGCGGCCCGCAATCAGTTTTTTGGCGGCCCGCGAGGCTTTTTATAAATATCAATAGAATCTGGCCCGCTATACAAAAATGAACGTAATTCAAAAAATAACCACCGGGTGTCGCTATTACATGTATTCAATTAAGCAGCAGTTCTTGTTATGATCTACAGTATCTATCTGTCTGCCTGTCTGTCAGTATGTCTGTCTGTCTGTCTGTCTGTCTGTCTATCTATCTATCTATCTATCTATCTATCTATCTATCTATCTATCTATCTATCTATCTATCTATCTATCTATCTATCTATCTACACACAGTTGAATTATTAGCCCCTCTTTGATTTATTTCTTCTTTTTTAAATATTTCCCAAATGATGTTTAACAGAGCAAGGACATTTTTACCGTATGTCTGATAATAATTTTTCTTTTGGAGAAAGACTTTTGTTTTATTTCGGCTAGAATAAAAAGCGGTTTAAATTTTTTTTATGAACCATTTTAAGGTCAAAATTATTTGCCCCTTAAGTCTTCAGAACAAACCATTGTTATAAAATAACTTGCCTAATTACCTTGACTTAACAAGTTAACTTGCTTAACCTAGTTAAGCCTTTAAATGTCACTTTAAGCTATATAGAAGTGTCTTAAAAATATCCAGTCAAATATTATTTACTGTCATCATGGCAAAGATAAAATAAATCAGTTATTAGAAATGAGTTACTAAAACTAATATGTTTAGAAATGTGTGGAAAAAAATCTTCTCTCCGTTAAACAGAAATTGGGGAAAAAATAAACGGGGGCTAATAATTTAGGGGGGCTAACAATTCTGACTTCACCTGTATTTATATATATATATATATATATATATATATATATATATATATATATATATATATATATATATATATATATATATATATATATGCGTGTCTGTGTGATGTATGTAAAATTTGGCCCGCGACAACGTTTGTTTTTTTACATCTGGCCCTCGGCCCAAAAAGTTTGGACACCCCTGGTTTAAGGGAAGAAATTGAATTCTTTCTTATATCAACTTTCTTATGATTTTTCATTTAACACATTCTCAATCATGAATTCCATCTATAATTTAAGTATAGGGCATTGAATGTCTTTCCAAAACCTTGGTATTATACATTCTGCTGTAGTTATACCAACAGTTATAAGAGGCCATCGGGTTATTAGATCTAGCAGGGAGGGAAATGTATCTAAAAATTGATTATGTTATGGTGAAAACTTGGTGATTTGTACATGGAACTTTGCTTGTATTATGTCATCTTGCTGCAGTTTCCCTAAACTTAGGATAATACAGCTGAGTCTGAACTAATGAAGTCTAATTGTAAAGTGTGACCATTTTTTTTTCATCTCTTGCAGGCAAACAATGATGTTTTAGCCTTTCTGTCTGGGATGCCTGTGACACGCAACACTAAATACTTGGACCTCAAGAACTCGGTATTTGATGTCTGCAGTATATGTGTGTTTTGCTTTTGTATGGGTTTATTTATGATTGTCTGCTTCTGTTTGCAGACTGAGATGGCCATGTATAAGGAAGTGTGCTACTACATGTTGTTTGCCATGGCGGCATATGGCTGGCCCGTTTATCTTTTGAGAAAACCAGCATGTGGACTCTGCAGACTTGTCAGCACCTGCTCGTGAGTAAAACTGAGGCTTTTGATTATTTAGTGAACATAAGGAGAATAAATGCGGCTCTTGTATAGTAGTGGCTGATTTAGTGCTTTGGTTACCTATGATCAACTTTTTGGTTTTGAAAAGTCATTAGATAGAGACAAGATTAATTAAATGTCACATTTAACAACTATAGTGAGACGCGATTCAGCGGTACATCCTTGATAACTGTCCGACGTGCACTGCTTTCTGGGCTGACTGCTGGAGCTCAGATGCTGCAGCGCATGCCTCTATGTGTGTGTGTGGTCACGTGATGAGTGTTTTCAGCAGTATAGGACGGAGAGCTTTTCAGAAATGCTTGGTTAAACACCACTGTGGGCGTGGATGGTTTCCGGTCTAAAATGCCATTTTAAAAGTAAGACGTATTAGTGTGAACGGGGCCGTGTGTATTTTTCACAAACGGGGGGATGAGAATCAACTATCGACCCAACTCTAGTTTTTACAGTATAGAAGCAATGGAAATCTTTGTAATGTCCCCACAAATTACAAAAACAAACATCACCAAACACAAAAAAACTACAAAAAGGCTTATTATAAACAGTTCAATTGAATGTCTCATGTATATGAATGTCATTTAATTCGTAACATGTAATTATCATTTGTTATTAATTAGAATTTGTGTTTTATTATAATATTTTTATTAATATGCTTATTATTTGAAGGAAAAATTATTTTGTAGTTTTTGTTAATTCTATTTTATGTCTACTTTATAATATATATATATATATATATATATATATATATATATATATATATATATATATATATATATATATATATATATATATTGTTTTTTTTTTTTTTTTTTTTTTTTTTTTTAAATAGTTGGTATATATATACACTACCTGACAAAAGTCTTGTTGTCAATCCCATTTGTAAGAGCAACAAATAATAACTTGACTTCTAATTGATCAATTGGAAAAGTGGCAGAAAGTCGAAAGGAAACACCAAAGTTTGGGGTTGAAAGCAGAGAAAGTCAAAGTGCTCCAGCATTGGCCAGCCCATTCACCAGACATGTACATCATTGAGCATGTCTGGGGTAAGATGTAGATAGATAGATAGATAGATAGATAGATAGATAGATAGATAGATAGATAGATAGATAGATAGATAGATAGATAGATAGATAGATAGATAGATAGATAGATAGATAGATAGATAGATAGATAGATATTACAAATTATAAAATTATCAAAATACAAATTATAAAATTGTATATATTTTTTAAACATTTTTATTTAATATGTTTCTCTAAAATATATCATTTGGTCTACTAATTTGTGCACTTTTATCGTAAGTTACTTTGTTCAATGTGCTCCAGATTTGCCTTCAGTACTGACTCATCTAATGTATATACACAAATGTATTATTGTAAAGATTTCTGCAGAAAATATTAAATTAAAAGAGAGTCTTGTGAAGGGTAAGAAACCAAGTTTTTTTAATAGTCATTGATATGCACTGTGTGATTCAGGATGAAAGGCATGCTGTCACATTTGTCGTTCTAAAAAATGATCTTTATGGACAGATGGATGGGATCGAATGGCTTTAATGTTTTCCTCTTCTGTTTCTCTTCTCTGCTCAGCTGCAATACTTCAGTTTCAAGCTCTCGCCTCTCTCAGTCCGTCACCGTTGAGGAAGATAACTGCTGCGGCTGTAACGTTCTTGCCATCCGACGCCAGTTTCTAGACCGAGACCTCAAAGAAGTCCAGATTGTCTACACATCCTGCCATGACGCGGTAGCACATCTTCCCATAAACCCTAAATCCCCCTGACTCTTGAATGCTGAGGTGTTGAGTCTTGTGTGATAAATGTCTGTTCACATCAGTGAGTCATCTCTCGGCCAAAATATGAAACGTGTGAATATGACTGCTCGCTGTTTTTGTAGGTTTATGAGACGCCCTTCTTTGTAGCAGTGGATCACGCAAAGAAGAAAGTCGTGATCAGCATCAGAGGAACGTTGTCTCCTAAGGTCAGTCAAACACAGATGTTCAGTACTGTAATGATGAGGCGTGACAACGGAGAGATGCATCGCCTTGTATTTTGAAGTTGCAGTCAAAGAAAACACAGCCAGGAATTAATAACAACTTCTGCATGAACAGATGACAGTTGAGCTGAGGGGTTTGACATGATCCAGCAGTCTACACGTGTTTGTTAAAACATACACATACACACATTAAACTTCAGAATAAACATGATAAATGTTTATTCCCTGCATGCAAATGCGGAGGGAGTGACCTGAGAGTCCTGTCACAATTTGTTTTGTCATCTGTTTGATTCGTGGTCCACTGGGATTTTACACTTGTGGAACTTTATTATTAATAATAATAATAATTCCTTACATTTATATACCACTTTTCTGGGCACTCAAAGCGCTTTACACAATGGGGGAATCTCCTCATCCACCACCAGTGTGCAGCATCCACCTGGATGACACGACGGCAGCCAATTTGCGCCAGACCGCACACCACACACCAGCTGATTGGTGGAGAGGAGACAGAGATAAAGCCAATTGGATTATGGGGATGATTAGGAGGCCATGATGGACAGAGGCCAGTGGGCAGATTTCGCCAGGATGCCGGAGTTAAGCCCCTACTCTTTTTCAAAGGACATCCTGGGATTTTTAACGACCACAGAGAGTCGGAACCTCGGTTTAACGTGTCATCCGAAAGACGGCGCTCACTGAGCAGTATAGCGTCCCCGTCACTATACTGGGGCATTAGGACCCACACAGACCGCAGGTTGGGCACCCCCTGCTGGCCTCACTGACACCACTTCCGGCAGCAACCTAGCTTTCCCATGTGGTCTCCCATCCAGGTACTGACCGGCATAGCCCTGCTTAGCTTCAGTGGGCAACCATGTGAGAGTTGCAATGCGAATGTGAGAAACAGTGGTGTCTGAGGCCCACAGTATGCCCATTTCCATATACTGATCTCTTATTATTCTACTATACACTGGTCTACCCAGATTTCATTATAGGGCACAATTAGTTTAATAACTAATTGTGTGCTCTCAATTCTGCAGTCTGCCTACTGTACTGTGCACTGCCTAATTTTGGCCAGGACGCTCTTGTAAAAGAGATTTTTAATCTCAATGTGTCTTTCCTGGTAAAATAAAGGTTACAATAATAATTTACAGACATATTAAAGACGTTGACATTTCATGGTCACAGACATTTTTTCATAACATTTTCTTTACCTTATCCTACAAATACCTTAAATTTACCTTCATAAATCCTGCAGAATCTCTCAAGAAACTTCTTTAACGCATAAGTTTGAGTGTTTCGAGGATAAAAATAATAATTCAATAGTGCAGGCTCAGTTAGCCCTTATATAATAACACCATATATACACTGTAGTACTATCGATTTTTGTGCTAGTTTCGTGTTTCTCTTATCACTCTGTGGTCTCTCTCTTTCCACATAATAAAATAACCCGAACTCGAATCAATATTTCATGCCCTTTTATTTATTTATCTAACGGGTAACCATGTAACAAGTGGGGCTAATGAACATCTGGACAGTCAATACCTCAAAATAAACCCAATTTTTGTTTTGCGATAATGTCGGGCTGCCTCTAAATTCATCATTTAATACGTTTGTGTGTCTTTTTCTCAGGACGCTTTAACAGATCTCACTGGCGATTCGGAGCGTTTGCCTGTCGAGGAGCAGCACGGCACGTGGCTCGGACACAAGGTTCTGCACAAACACACACATATAAAGACCAACATGGTATTTATATACAGACACGGACTAAATTGTTGGCACTCTTCCATTGAAGACAGAAAAACTACACTGAAATCACTTTAAAATGAGAAAAGTAGTGATTTAATATAGAAAATACTGAAAATAAACTATCGAAAGTCAGATGTTGCTTTCAAATTAGCAATTAAAAACGACAAACTAATTAAAACTGGCTTGGACAAAACTGAAGAGTATCAATAATGTTGTCCATGTCTTTATATACTGACAGATATGAAGTCTTTGCTTCTCTTTGGCAATGGTTTGTTTAGGGAATGGTTTATTCAGCCGAATACATCAAGAAGAAACTGGAGCAAGAGATGATCCTCTCTCAAGCCTTTGGGAGAGATTTGGTAAGTCAATTGATTCATTTTTTTGTGTGATCAACTTTTTATTATTTTCAGAGATAAACAACATTACATCTTATTAGATAAATGTTCAAATAGCTTCTCTAGTCGTTTTGTAAATCAACCCTAGTGTCTTCAAGCACGATTTGCAGGTTGCAAGCATTATCTATCTATGACAGTGGTTCTCAAACTTTTTTCATCAAGTACCACCTCAGGAAAAACATTGTTTCTCCAAGTACCACCAAAATGAGCAGTGTTGAAATACAGTAGTGTAGTAGGCCCAGTAAAGCAGCTACAACTCTGCACAGTTAAAAAAAAAATGCGACAGATTACTTCAGAAATATAGGCTATTTGTCAAATTGGCATATTATATACATCATTTTTGATAAATTTTGAAATGTGTGTAGCATGTTTATGACGTATTTCATTCCTCCAAGTACCACTAGAAGGAAGCCTGCTTACCACTAGTGGTACATGTACCACAGTTTGAGAACCACTGATCTATGATATCACATGACACACAATCACACACACTCATCATGTGTTTGTGTATATCTCAGAGTAAAGGGACGATGCACTACGGGCTGGTGATTGTGGGTCATTCTCTGGGAGCGGGAACAGCCGCCATCCTGTCCTTCCTCCTTCGGCCGCAGTATCCTTCACTGCAATGCTATTCCTACTCTCCTCCCGGCGGCCTGCTTAGGTCAGTCTGACAGAGCCATTGTTGATTTACACTACAGTTCTAATCTCAACTGTTTAGTAGGCATTGAGGCATGATGACATGAGGAAAGTCGTATATGCAATGATTAAACTACGAGTTAAGGGGCACATAGTTTACCCCTTTTTTATGATTTATAGTAATATTATGGTTCTTCTGAGTGTGCCAGTTTAGGTTCAGTTCAAAACACAGTTCAGATTTTTTTATTATAATGTGTTAAAAAGTGTCATTTTGGGGGTGTGTACACAGGTCGCTGTTTTAGGTCACATGAAAATTAGTTTCAAATTCCCGCCTAACATAACAAGGGGGCGGAGCCAAGAGCTCCCCCGCTTTGTGTTTGGCAACAGACAGGCAGACAGAGAGAAGCTGCATGAGTGAGAGGACCAGCATTCAGCCGTATGACATGTACGACTCGGACACACCTGGCAGAGAGTGCAAAATCATGTGTGTCTTTGTATAGTTTTACATCCAACTGCTAGTTTAAACATCACAAATCCCTCTTTGCACCAACTATATCACATATTTAGGTATCAATGTTTCCGCAAGGCTGTCAAAGTGGTTTGGACTTAAGTATACTGCATTACTTAAAAGAAATAGATGAACTTACCACTATCTGTCATGGGCGGAATATCAGTAATCAAAATGTCCATACTCCTAAAAATTAACTATTTATTTTCAATGATTCCAACCCAACCCACACATACCTGGTTCAAATCTCTAGACTCAATTATAACAAAATTCTACTGGAAAAACAAGACCCCAAGAATTAAATTGACAACCTTACAGAAACCAAACTCACAAGGAGGATTAGAAGCACCGCATTTTTACAACTATTTTCTGGCAAATCAGCTTCAAAATATACACAAATGGATTAACTCATCAGAATACACATGGCAAGACATTGAACAATCAATCTGCAATATACACATATACATATACATGTAACATACACACACACACACAGTTATTACATGAGTACATAAGTAGAATGAATGAAAAGCTCAAAAATTTGTTGAAATCTGTTTTTTTGTGAGTTATTGCATATTCCGTATGCAATAACACACAACTTATTCCATTCATGAAGCCAGTTGCATTTTAGAAAACTCTTGCATTGCAGTTTTTGTTTTTCTGTGAAACACAATATGAAGCTAAAAACACAATATGAAGCTAAAATTATGTATCAAATTTCACCTTGAAATCTTTTATCACTTTTTATGGCGGTAAAATGGGTTGTGACGAGGTTTTCAAGTTGGCATTAAAGCACAAGTATGAACAGAGTGTGTTTTTGATTCACAGTGAGGATGCAATGGAGTACTCGAAAGAGTTCGTCACCTCAGTGGTGTTGGGAAAAGATCTGGTGCCCAGGTAAAAGAGAGATCTGTTCTACTTATAGATAGTTATAGTCTGAATGATTAGCCCTTTTCAAATATTTCCCAAATGATGTTTAATAGAGCAAGGGATTTTTCACAGTATTTTCTATAATATTTTTTCTTCTGGAGAAAGTCTTATTTGTTTTATTTCAGGTAGAATATAATTTTTTTAAACCATTTTGAGGTCAATATTATTAGCCCCTTTAAGCACTTTTTGTGGTTGTCTACAGAACAAACCATCGTTATACAGTGACTTGCCTAATTACCCAAAATTTCCTAATTCACCTAGTTAAGCATTTAAATGTCATTTTAAGCTGAATACTAGTGTCTTGAAAAAATATCTAGTCAAATATTATTTACTGTCATCATGGCAAAGAGAAAATAAATCAGTTCTTAGAAATGAGTTATTAAAACTATTGTGTTTAGAAAAGTGTGGAAAACACCTTCTTTCCATCAAACAAAATGTGTGGGAAAAAAATATACAGGGGGCTAATAATTCAGGGAGTCTGTTAATTCTGACTTCAACTGTGTATATATATGAGTCTGAGCAGTGTGTTCATCATTCACTCTTCTTTTCATTCAGGATCGGCCTCTCTCAGCTTGAGGGTTTCCGTCGTCACCTGCTTGAAGTCTTACAGAAGAGCAATAAACCAAAGGTGAGCTGCTTTTGATGATGATTTTGATGATAATGTCTTTATTTGTCACATCCACTTTTACATGCAGTGAAATTGGACCCCTCCAACCATACACAAACATCACATTTTTCAAGGAAAGACAGTTCGGAAGAACAACGAATTATAACTTGACTTCTAGTTGATCATTTGGTAAAGTGGTAGAAGGTCGATTTTTCTAATCTGTTGAATTGTGAAATACTGCAAAAGATCTACTGGAACCCACATGAACCCAAGATTCTTACAGAAAACAGTCAAGTTTGGTGAAGGAGAAATCATGGTTTAGGATAACATTCAGTATAGGGCGTGCGAGAGATCTGCAGAGTGGATGGCAACATCACCAGCCTGGGTTATCAAGACATTTGTGCTGCCCATTACATTACAAACCACAGGAGAGGGCAAATTCCTCCACATCAAAGTTCCTGAAAGCAAAGAAGGTCAAGGTGCTCCAGGATTGGCCAGCCCAGTCACCAGACATGAACATTATTGAGCCATTCTTGAGTCATTGCAGAGATGTGTGGATGCAGTCCTCCAAGCTCATGGGAGTCATACACAATATGAATTTTTTTCCACTGCAGCATGACTCTATATTCTATACTTTACATTATTTCTGTCAAATGACAAGACTTTTGTCTAAGCAAAGTCAGACCTTACTGTCCTAATTTAATAATTAAAAATCAAGGCATGATCATATTTTATTTTGGTGAAATAAGCGTAATCTAGACTCCTTTGCCTTTCAAATAAGCCACTTCTGATACCAAATGATCAACTAGAAGTCAAGTTTTGATTTGTTGCTCCTAAAACTTGGATGGGTGACAAGACTTTTGTCAGGTGGTGTATATTATATATATTACATCTCACCCTGCTCTTTATGTAGCAGATAAGTTTAAATGATCTTATCCTTTTCGTTATGAATATTGTTTTAAAAGTGGAAGATCACAACACCGTCAAATGATTTATGTAGCTATAAAAACCGTCTCGCTGTACATTCAATTAAACAACTACCTTCGGTCGAATAAATATATTTCAACTCAAATGAATATCTGATTATCTGAGAAGAAAGGGTGTGAATTTAATTAAATCTACCAGAGCAACGTTACCCTTGATTATGCAGTTTAGCATTAAGAATGTCATATTCTGGAGTGTTGGTGTATGTAGGTGACGGCACAGTAGCATTTATTATCACTGAATTGTGCCAGTAATTATCCGCCCTCATTACATCTATCACATTTTGCTTTTTCCATGTCCTTTACCTCTGGGCGAATAAAGTAAAGGCTAAATTTTTATGTTACTAATTATAAAGCAGTCGTTGGATGGGGGTTAAGCAATGAAAACTAATTTTTCTTTAATATGTCTGTATTCTAGTTCAGTCAGTGTGTCATAAAACTCTTATTTCTTAATTTTATGGTACTTATTATAGTTTTAAAGTGTACACTCTTCGTCAAAGGTTTGAGGTTGGTAAGATGTGTGTAAATGTGTACTGAAAAATAAACCCAAAACATCACTTCGGGCAAAAAATGTTGACATTTAAGGCTTACACTAGCTTTTTTTATCCATTATGTGCTATGGCAGCAGGGACTATGCATGGACATTTAGTTTTATTTATTTATTTATTTTGTTATAGTTTTGTTTATTTTTAAATATCCCATTCTGATATTTAACTTAAAGTAATTTAGTCAGTCAATCTTAAACTGGAGACTCGCAGTAATTGGATGATTTGAATTAGCGAGTTGGACTGGAGACTTACTTTGACCAGATCATTTGAATCAGTGAGTAATTAACTGGAGACTTCCTCTAACCCGATCATTTGAATCAGTGAGTCATCATTTGGAGAATCACTGTGGATCATTTGAATTAGTGAGTCATTACTCTGACCGGATCATTGGAGTTAGTGAGTCACTAGCTGCGTTCGACTTGAACGATGACTGCAGCCAGTGATCAACGAGATTAGCCGAGCGCAGTCGGGGGCGGAGTTGAAAACGGTGTTGCCGCATAGTTGCGGCAGTTATGATGACCGATCACATGGTGTCATCATCATTTATTTATTTACAACAACAAAAGATTTACTGTACAAATAAAACAACACAGTTTCTACAAAGTATAGTTCATTTTTAAGCAATAAGGGAATTATGAATTAAATGTGTAACAAACAAATGAGAAAAAATTAGAGGAAACAAGAAGGCAATATAAACAAAAACGAATAGGCCTATTAAATACAAATTATTAAGCACAAATTCTAGGAGTTTAAACATCACTCTAGGCTAATACTTCTTGTTTGAATATACTAAAGGGGTTTACATTTACTTACATTTATAAATATAAAACCTTCCAATATATATATTAGTGTAAAACCCAAAACAAGGTGTTTTGATTAAGTTTTAAACAATGTTAAGGATTATTTTGGATAATGAAGGCATTTTCAAAAAAGCACTTGAAAGATTGAACAAACAAACATTCCTAAAATAAGTGAGCTACACTTTGAGTAGAAGTTTGCCAGAAAGAGCAGGTACATCAATGTCACTTTTAAAACATGTGCATAAACGGCTAGACAGGAAAGAAATATATGTTATAATCATATAAATCATTTTATAATTATTTAAGAAAATAGTTCTTTAACTTTATTTGTTAAAAAATAAGCTTTAGGGTGATAGGATCAATAATGAATTAATTTATTACAAGTCTGTAAGACTTATTTAAGTTAATATTTAGGTTATTCACTAAAATATATCATTTTAATTGTTCATAGAGCTGAATACAGTAAATAGTCTGTATAAAAAAGGTCAAAAATAAACCTGTGCAAACAATCTACCCTTCATGACCAAATTATTGAACAAAAGATACCGCAGTAAAATATTTGTAGTCTTTTAATAAGCATGTTGTGTACGAGATAGAAATAGTATAAAAAGTTATTTGTTTGTTTTGAACTTTGTGAGACGGAATTTGTCCAATAATAAACCCGAAACACACAAGGTTGTTGTCATGCGGCGAACTCATCGTGTAATATCGGTGTCGTCATCTCAGCTCTTGCAGTCACTCTTCAGATGCTGCACCGGCTGAATCTGTCGTCTGATCTCGGAGGGCTGTCGCAATACTTTGATGCAACATGTGACAGTCACCTGGCGTCTGCGCAGCATCGATCCGGACATTTTCTAACCAGCATCCACCGCTTTATGCAGCGCTGCACAGATTGATCTGTCTTAAAGTCGAACGCACCTATTACCTGGAGAATTACTCTGACTGGATCATTTGAATCAGTGAGTCATTACTCTGACCTATTCATTTGAATCAGTGAATCATTACCTGGAGAATTACTCTGGTCAGATCATTTTAAACAATAAGTCATTAACTGGAACCTTTCTCTAAATGGATCATTTGAATTAGTGAGACTCGTTCTGACCGGATTATTTGATTCAGTGAGTAATTAACTGGAGACTTGCTCTGACTGTATCGTATGTATCAGAGAGTCATTATCCGGAGACTCGCTCTGACCAGATAATTGTATCAGTGAAATATGTTGATTTCTCCCATTCAAAATGATGAGGAATGACACTGTTTAATCTATTTAATGCATTTATGGTAACATAAAGCACTAATTTACTTAAAAAAAAAAACACACATTTACTGATTCCAAACTCGTGAACAAATATATATGTTATTTAAAAGCATGCGTGACTTTTAACAGGCCATTTGTTTAAAGGGATAGTTCACTCAAAACTAAAAATTCTATCAACATTTACCCACCCGTCATATGAGTTTCTTTCTTCTGTCGAACACAAAAGAAGCTATTTTGACGAAACTTTAGGAAAACTGTATTCATTAACTTCCATACTATTTATTTTCCCACTATGTATGTCAATGATTACCGGTTTTCAGCATTCTTCAAAATAACTTCTTTTGTGTTCAACAGAATAAAGAATCATAAATGTTTGAAACCACTTGAGTGTGATTAAATTGTGAGGAAATTTTTATTTTTGGGTGAACTAACCCTTTAAATGTTTCATCATACACCATGCAGCAGTTTTTAACACACCATAAACAGTGTTGACGTGCAGCATAGATAATACATGCAAGAAATAATACCACACACACACACACACACACACACCTCCATTGGCTGTTTAATACAGCTTGCATCATGAGCACTGTCGCTTATATTTCCCTCTGAATAGTTTCAGGCAAGGATGTGAGAAATTTCTGCCTCTGTGATGTATTTCAGACTTCTTTATCTTATTAATGTGCTTAATCACACTGCCTACTTTAGTGATTAGCTCTTCTCAGCAGGAAACGATGCCTTGAAATGCTGCCTGTGTGGGTTTTGGAACAGCCTGTAACTGGAGACTCTGACTGGATCCTTTGAATCATTGAATTGATAACTGAAGATTCACTCTAACAGAATCACTTGATTTGTTCGAGATTCGTTGTGTGCAGATCATTTGTTGTTAACTTTATGTGCTCTGGTTGCATCATTTGAATCAGTGAGTCGTTAACTGAGGACTCACTCCTACAAGATCCTTTAATTCAATGAGTCATTACTGGATAATTACACTTGACAGGATCATTTGAATCAAGCAAGTCGTTAACTGGAGACTCGTTCTGACTAGATCATTTCAATCAGTGAGTCATTAACTGAAGATGCGCTCTGATCAGATCATTTCAATCAGTGAGTCATTAACTGAAGACTCTTTCTGACCATATCAATTAAATCAATGAGTCATTAACTGTAGAATCACACTTGACCGGATCAGTTAAATAAATGCAGACTCACTCTGATCAGATGATTTGAATCAGTTAATTGATAACTGGAGACTTGCTTTGACTGGATCATTGCAATCAGTGAGTCGTTAACTGGAGGGGCGCTCTGAACGGATAATTTGAATCAGTTAGTCATTAACTGAAGACTCTTTCTGACCAGATCATTTGAATCAGTGACTATTTAACTAAAGACTCACTCCCACAAGATAATTTTAAATCAACGAATCATTACTGGAGTATTACTTTTGACGGGATCATTTGAATCAGGGAGTCATTAACTGAAGACTCGTTCTGACCAGATAGTTTGAATCAGTAGTGAGTCTATAGCAGCAGGAATTGATGCCTAAATCAGCAGAAAATGATGTCTTAAAATGCTGTCTGTGTGGGTTTTGGAACAGAGCCTGTATGTTTCAATCTATTTGATTTAGTGGAGGATCATTGCTGGAGGAACAAAGTGCATCCCTAAATCGGAGCTGCCCATGGATGACGAAGCCCCTGTATCTCAGGGCGTAACACCCTCCAGTTCCCGCCTATGGCTTCATCCCAGTGATCTGAGCATCGCCCTGTCAGCCTCCACACCGCTGTTTCCCCCGGGTCGGGTCATTCATGTGGTGCACAATCACCCCCCTGAGATGTGGTAAGTAGAGACGAAGAACTGAATGGATTAATGTTTAAAGTTTAAATATATATCTGTGTTTTGAATTATCTTAAACTCAAAGGTCTGATAATATCATGAACATTTATCATGTCTCATACATTTCGAAGTCTCTTAAGCCGCCTGTCCACTGCACACGACATTTGGACACGACTGTCGGAATACGCCCCCTTGTGGCAGCCGCACAGTATTTTCATTGTTGTCGTGTACGATGGGAGAGAAGCTGATTCTCACAGTGTCCGAAATAAAGGAGTGCAAAAGCAAGAGCCTTTATTCTCTGTGCGTTTACATGGTTTAATGAATAAATGAATACTAGAAACTCATAGACCGCTAAAATATTGGAGGGAATGTGGAGACGACATTAAAAATAGTCTTTTTTATTACTTTCTTACTTATACTTCAGAACAGAAATGTGTTTTTTTTTTTAATATAGACATTTTATAATTCAAAAAATAACCAAATAAACTCCTATTTCTCATTTCGTGCGCACAAACCTACTTGTACAACACTGAAATACATCACATCCGGTCGGCCGGTCGCATACGGTCTAGTCACAGGAGTTAAAATATTTCAACAGATCCGCAGCTCAATTCGGGTCCGAATTTTCCGCATACGGAGATAATCAGAACTCCGCGCAGCTCCTGGACTTCTCTCCATTGGAAATGAATGACTTCCAGTCTGTCGCTTGTGGTTTGTCGTGTGCAGTGGAAAGGAGGCTTTAGGTCGTTTACACTGTCAGGTCTTGATACCCAATTCCGATTTGTTGCCTATATCTGATTTTTTTTGCCTGTCCGTTTACACGTTCTATTAATTGTGACCCATATCTGAATCATAAAACTCTTCTAAATCTTCAAACTAATATGAAGATTAAACTCTAACCAGTCTTTCTATTTACTTTAAACACCTAAGATTACTTTTATTGTCAACATTTCTCTCTCTTAATTCAATCCCACGCAAAGCATGCTAGGAACTAAATCCCCTAACCAGATAGTTAGACCAACACAATTGCATCATGTTGTCCCAACACAAAACACTTAAGGCTGATTTATACTTCTGCGTCAAGCGCACGCGTATGCTACGACACAGCCTACACGTTGACTCATAGCTCACGCCATGGCTGTCTGTGTTGCTGACGTGCACCTCTCAAAAAAACCCAACTACAAGTCGCAATGAAGCGTAGCACAAGCTCTGTGATTGGTTGGCTTGGTAGCGTTGACGAGTCTGGGCGGGACCGAGAGCCGCGCGAATGGCGCAAGCCCGATGGAGCGATTGTTTACAAGTGTGAAGTGTCGTGAAGGAGCTCCGGATGGAAAGTTTTGTTTTGTGTTTAAATCATAGTTAAAGTTGTTGCACGTCCGCCAGTCCTGTCTCAAAATGAGCGAGTTTGAGCCACTTGTACATTCAGGAAGCGTTCATTAAAAACAAAACACCTGTGAAGAAACTCGATACAGAGGAACATTAACACCTCACTGCCAGCTAGCGTTTCACAAGTGTTAATGCAGACCAACAGAACAGCCCGCAGAAGTATAAATGCGCAGCTATGCGCGTTGCATGCACCGTGGGTTATGCCGGTCACTTGACGAAGAAGTATAAACCAGGCTTTAGGTTAAAACGAATAAATTGTACAAATAAATGACAAGAATTGTGTTGTTTCAGCTCATTTTAAATGGGTAGTTTGAACAAGAAGCAGTGATAAGTCTACTTGATGCTATTGCCTTTATTATTTCTAGTAATGGGTACTACACTGAAAAAATAATGTCTGCACACTATTTATATGTGTCAAATTTAAACAAACAAATTAAATTTAGTAATGTTTAACTTAGTTTGTTTGTTTAAATTCAGCCTAAATAAATTGTTTACAGCCACTTGACTTAAAAAAAAAAATCAGTAAATCCAAGGAATCATCTTTGAATCATTTATTTCAGTGTAGAAAAAGTTATCCAAGAGAAAAGTATCCATTATAAAAGCTCCATAGAAGCATCGAATAGAAGCGGTTTCTATTGCTCACTGTTAAAACTAGTGTTAATATTAAATGAGAAATACCTTCATTTCCTCACACTTTCCTTTTATTTCCAGCAAAGATTGTGTCACATCCTGCATCAGTCTGAGTCTAGAAATTTCTCTTACCATCTTTCTCTCTCTGTGTCTTTGTAGTTGTGGTCAGGAAGAGCCCACCTACTCTGCTCTGTGGGGCGATAACAAGGCCTTTGATGAGGTCATCATTTCTCCAGCCATGCTGAATGAACACATGCCCCATGTGGTGATGGATGGCCTCAACAAGGTGCGTGTTTGTGTTTTTTTTTTTTAGCACGCATGCTTCTACGTCCTGCTCTTGCAAAAGCGCCAACACGGTGATTGGGAAGCTGATGAAATATTCTGAACAAATCTGAGTGTCATTTGATTCTGCATCTGTACATATGGACATACATCAGACCAGGGCTGGACAATATTTGTAGTATGTGCAAGGGTTTCTGATGATGTACAAATTAAGCACTGTTAAATATTGTGATGTTCATGTGAATTAGGTGAATCATTTAAAACTCTCCATTACAGTCAATTGATTCATTATTACTCAAAGAACAAGTTTGCCCTAAAGGGGTGGTCCACTTCGATATCATATTTAAAATTTTAGATGCAAAGGCAGACATTGGCTTTTACAGCGTTAGCTTAGCAAAGCCTACAGCAAACAAAGTTTGGAGACTACAAAAAATGCTTCCAGGTTAGTGAGATCACAAACACTTCAGGTTACACGCATTCACCACGCGCACACACCCTGCACAGCGAAGGGACGTGGCCAGAGGTACTGTAATGTTACAGCAGAAAAAGCTAAAATGGCGTCCAAACGCTGCTATTTCCACAGAGCTTCGTCTGTTTCTGTAGGGCTTCCAAAGGACACGGCACAAAGAGAGAAGTGCTTACAGTTTCATTTGAATTATGTTCCAGAGAATTTTAAAAATATATAGCTAGCATTTGACAAAGGACAGCTTCCAGATTTTCTCCCAGTTCAGTGCTGGATTCGGCTAAAAACTCCTCAAAGAAGGAGAAGCTCCAACTATAATAGATGAAGCTGTGGACTGTGAGCCACAACCTGTAAGTGTTTATATTTGTTAAAATTGATGTATTACATGCACAGTTTCTAGCGGTATGGTTTAGGGAGGATGTAAACAACAGGAAATGCTGTTTAGCACTGCTAACAATTTAGCTGCAAATTCATATTTATCAGTCAAACCACTGTAAACAGACACACTCTTCAGCGGTGCTGTAGTGTCTCTCTTTGCAGCCGATTTCCCTGCGTTCTACATCTCACATAAGAGACTCGCAAAAGATATGTGAACGTTTCATATTACTTACACATGCTTATAACCTGAATATATATGAAAGACACTTGTCAGATTTTATTTTAGAGAGCAGGCGTGAGGTTGAGCTATGTGCTCTTCATTTTCTGTCTAATTTAGGCTCAAATAGATACGGCTAATGCCTAGTTCAGACTGCGTGATTTTAGCCCCGATTTTGGCTCGCCGACAGGTTTTGAGAAATTGCAGACAAATGCCTGAAATCACAGGCAAATCGGTGCTCGTGCACGTGAGTGACAATCACACAGTATGAACTATCAAAGACGCGATCTGAGAGAATCGCCGATGAGTCGCCGATGCCTGCGAGATATTTGGCGTGCTAAATATCTGGAGCTGTCGGCGATTCAAATCATGTCGTGTGAATTGAGTTTTGACTGAAAATAACATTAGCGATCGCCTACAGCCAATGAAAGAGCGGTATTCAATTGTGTGTGCGTGTGTGTATACCTGCTGCAGGCCAGCGGGAGGCTGGGGGAGAAGTTAAAAGCGCTCATTTTCGATTTATTTGGACCCACGAAATGGTGGAAAAACTAGTGGAGGTTTGACGATTCATACAGAAAGAAATTAGTTTATTATCAACGTTAAGGAGAAATGGTTAATTCCCTTTAAATCCAGGTGAGCAAATATGTACATTTTCTACACCATTAAAGGCTTCTTTCTCATTAGGTAGTTAATAACAAAAGATAAACGACGTGTTTTTGGCTGTGAGATGTAGTTTGGACGAAGTTGTCGGCGATTCTTCCTATAGTAAAGTCATGCAATGTGAAAGCCCCTGTCGCCGATCGATCTTGCAGTGTAAACAAAGCAGCGACGAAACGCTAGCCCAGATAGTCAAGCAGTGTGAAAACATCTGTGACACGACTACTTTGAAAATCATGCAGTCTGAACTCGGCATAACAGCTTCTCTGCCTGAGTATTTACACAGCGCAAATACATATGCCATTAGAGGCATGACATTTTTCCTGGTAACGAAGAGCCATTCCGCGAATCACAGCCTTTATGTAAACCGACCAATCAGAGCCTCTTTAGGGCAGGCCTTCCGAAAAATTAGGAAATATGACAGTCGTTTTCATGTTAGCTGAGAAGCTGTATATAGTCAAAGTAAAATATAAGAAAAATAATGTGAATTTCTACTAGTGAAGCATGAACACACATTAGTTTGCATCTTATAAACGCAACCAAACCTTAAAAATATTCTCTGGACCACCCCTTTAATCTAATTTTTATTAACAAATAGCTGAAGTTAAAGCCAACAATGTACACTGATCCTTTTCAATTAGAATAGAATAATAGTATTAATATTTCAGACAAATTTTTTGTTTGAATAAAGTCGTAGACCTCAGATTGGGTAAGAATCGTTCGAGGTTACTAAAGTAACCCTTCGTTCCCCGAGGAGGGGAACGGAAGCACTATAAGTGGATTTGATTGTAAAATCCACGCATTGGGAGGTTCGGTTCAGAAGCTACTCGTCTGAAAGAGTATTGAACGGGCCAATTAAGAATGAATTGGCAGCGCAAGCCTGCGCAGGTGAGCGGCATAAGCAATCAACTGAGTATATAAGCTCACCTGGCGCCAGCAGACGCTATCCTTTTTAAGCTGAAGAGACTTTCAACAGCTAAGGGACAGTCATTATGGCGACGGAGTATAGTGCTTCCGTTCCCCTCCTCGGGGAACGAAGGGTTACTTTAGTAACCTCGAACGTTCCCCTTCGGGGGGAACTTCAGCACTATAAGTGGATTTGATTGTAAAATCCACGCATTGGGAGCCCATTGAAAGCGCCATAATGACTGCACCTTACCAACACCCCCGATGAGGAGATAGTTAAGCAAGCGTGACGCACCCACATCATGGGGGGCGCGGTCCTCCAACGTGTCCCTGGCCCTAATTTATCCTACTTCAACAGAAGTTTTACGGATTTATATATATTTTTTGGGAAGTCGTGAGCATCTAGATAATTCTAGGAAAATACGACAGTACGTTGGGAAGCGTGCAATCCCGATAGGGAGGACGCTGCGGAGGCCATCCGTTACCCAAGGGGGGATAGATGGCAGAATTTACATATGGACTAGCCCTAAAAAGGGGGAGTACGCATAGCAAAAGAGTGGTTAGCGGGGAGGGAAGACACGGGTCCGCCCAGGGGGGGGACTTAACCGTGGCGGAATAAGCATATGGGATCGCCTAGTGGGGATCACGCATAACAGGCACCTTTACCCAAAACGCGGGCTGACCAGCGGGCAGACCTACAACGTAGTGGGCCAGCAAGTGACTCCTCCGCTGAGTCAGTGCTGGGGGCCACGGAGGAATCTGCAGGGCTCACCTGACGGGGAACTTTACTGACAGATAAAAAGGCGCACGTATCTCCGTGTTAGGGAGAATGGCGCAGCAAGCGTGTTTCAACACCCTACCGAGTTGTCTCCTCAATCACCAAAGGGTTACCTAATACCCTTGAGGAAACCGGCTCCACTCGCAGATTGTAAAACCTTGCAAATGTGTTGGGTGTCACCCAGCCCGCAGCTCTACAGATGTCTGTTAGAGGGGCGCCGCGTGCGCGCGCTCGAGAGGATGCGAAGCTCCGAGTGGAGTGCGCACGCGCTCTCGGGGGACGCGGCTCATCTCGCCTCCTCCGAGGGCAGCGCTTGCAGGCTCACTACCTCGTATTAAAACGGAGTGGTAGGAACCTTGGGCACATATCGCGGGCGGGGTCTCAGGACGTGAGAGAAGCCAGCTCAATTACAGGCACGAGTCACTGACCGAAAAATGCCTCCGGGTCCCCGACCCTCTAATCGATATCAACGCGACCAGCAGAGCTGTCTTCAGGGACAGAAAGATACTGAGTCGAGGATCGAAGGGATCTGACGCGGCTTGTGTAGCGAGATCCTAAGAGGGCATGAGAGGGGGCGGGGTGGATTAATTCGCTTAACGCCCCTGAGGAACCGGATGATGAGGTTATGCGTTCCCACGGTGCTGCCAGCCACCGCGTTATGAGAGCGGAGATGGCAGCCACGTAACCTTGAGTGTGGAGGGCGACAGCCTGCTCTCCAACTTCTCTCGGCGTAAAGAAAGCACAACGCTGATCTGGCAAATTACGGGGGTCTTCTCAGCGAGAGACACACCATTCAGTGAATAGACTCCACGTCAGGGCATAGGCGCGCTCGGGGAGGGGGCTCTAGCCCGAGTGACGGTATTAGCCACCGCAATCGGAGGTTACCTAAGTCTTCCTCGCGTCTAAAAATCTCTTCAAAGATCGGCGAGGGTGCCAGGTGGTGCCCTGTCCCTGAGAGAGTAGGTGCTCTCTCGAAGGGACTGCCAGGGGAGGGCTATCGCGAGGGAGAGCTCTGACATCCAGGTCCGGTTGAGCCAGAGGGGCGCAACCAGCAACCTGTTCCTCGTCCTCCCTGACCTTGCACAGTAACTGCGCGAGCAGGCTCACTGGGGGAAACGCGTATTTGCGCGTGCCCCGAGGCCAGCTGTAAGCCAGTGCATCCGTGCCGAGAGCACTCGGTCAGGGAAAGAACAACTGGCAATGAGCGCTCTCGGGGGAAGCAACAGATCGATCTGGGCTTCCCCGAATCGCGCCCATATCAGCTGCCAGACTCGGGGTGGAGTCTCCATTCTCCAGGACGCAAGGCTGCCGTGAGAGCGCATCGGCTGCACGGTTGAGCTTGCCTGAATATGAATGGCGTGCAGCGATTTCAGCCGCGGATGACTCCAGAGGAGCAGACGGCGGGCGAGCTGAGACATGCGGCGAGAGCGCATACCCCCTATACGGCTGATATACGCCACCGCCGCCGTACTGTCCGTCCTGACCAGCACGTGTTGCCGCTCCAGCACCGGAAAAAAACGGTGGAGAGCGAGGAACACTGCCAACAGCTCCAGGCGATATGCCAATGCAACTGGGTACCTTTCCACAGGTCCGCAGCCGCATGCC